CAAAAAATTACTTATATAGGTAAGATCCCAAGACAAAGGCTCTCCGTATAGCCTCAACAGAATGCTGTTAGAAAGTAGCACCTCTGAAGGCCAGCACGGACGACGAGGGGGTAGATGGCCAGGACCAAACTTGGCCGCCTGTGTCTCCCTAGTGTTTACACATCGCAAAAGGAAACATTTGAGGCTGATTCGGCCTAGGGGAGGCCCAGGACCGGTTCAGATATTTGTCACTGATGTTGGTCGTGAGCGGGAATAGAACTCAGGGTCGCCGGGTTCGTAGTGCAGTGCACTAACCATTGTGCCACCGCTCCCCACATTTCATATCCCAAATATCCCCCGTATAGCCATAACAGATTGTTGGGGCAAGTGCTGTTAGCAAGTAGCACCGATAAAGGCCGGCACGGTACCCGAGGAGTGAGTGGTCAGCACCCTGCCCGACCGCAAATTGTCTCCCCAGTGGTGATGTTTACACATGGCACCAGGTATGCATTTGAGGCTGAGTCGACCTAGGGCCATGAGCTGTCAACACCAGCGACACATCCAGCACACTCCAGCACCCAAAGGAATGGGTCTCTCCCAGACCCCCGTGCTTGCGTTCATCCCCTTGCTATATCCTTATCTCCGAACCTTCTCGAACCTTCCTTGTTCTTCTCAACCCCCTCCTTCTCCCCTTTCCACTATTCCTGTCCCTTGGCCTATCTCTTTGCATTTGTCGCACTACATGACTGCCTCTCCAATGCACCCCCTTTGGCTTATCCCTATTTCTCTCTGCCCTTCATTGGGATTTTCCCATTTTTTCTAATGTACGGGCAGGAGCACAAGCCCTCCATAGAGGCTCAACTGGGTGCGGCTTCAAAGCAACAAATACGGGATGTACCCATGGCCCTGCAGGTTACGCTCGGCCGGGTGTCGGAGGCACGTGCTGCGGCGAGGGAAAATACTGCCAGGGCACAAGCCGCTAATGAGGAGAGCACAGGACGGCGCGAGCACGTGCCTCCTTGGGCTGTCGATGACAGAGCGTGGTTGCATTGTCTGCAGGTGCCGCTGCAGACATCACCTAAGTTGCACCGCCCATGGCGGGGACCGGCCACAGTGCGTGCGAGTACAGGCGGGGCGTCGCCGTTGGTTTGTCCACCCATCGTGCCTCAAACCATACGTCCATCTCCATACCCTGTGCGGCCAGGGTCTGGTGTGTCCGACGTGTCAGGGCAGTCGTCCAAAATAATTGTGCAACCCAGGAAGTGCATTGTGCCACCCACAGAAGGCGGCCCTCTGAGTCTCAGAGGCCCACAAGACTCCGCCACGTGCAATGGACCGGGGTCAAGGACCCGGTTGGAGAACTTTACGGCTGCGATAGCGGCTCTCCAAACCACGAAGTGGACTGTCGATTCCCAAGGCCACACTTTTTGTATGTGTGTACCCCGGTTGCGGTTGCTGTTGTTTGCGTGGGGTGGCTTGCACCACTCACTCGTCCTGTTGTGTTATTGTTGGTTTCTGTGGTCGAGTGATGAGTTCTTTTCCATGCAGATGTGGGTTGTCATTCTGCCCTAATTGTTGAAATGTTGTCTTTTTTTAAGTCTTGGTATTAGCCAGGACAGCTATATTTTTAAGAAGGGGGGAGGGTGATGTCATGAAAGTAGAGCCTACATGCACTGCGAGGGGACTAGTGGCCACGGGAGGTAATGAGTTGTGAGTGCAAAGGGACTGGTGGCTACGGGAATGATCGAGAAGGGAGCGTGGTCAGGTGACGGAAGAGGACGGTAGAATCTGCTGGTGGAGCGAGCGTCCAGAGTCAGCGACAATGATCGAGAAGGGGAGCGTGGCCTCGTGTTGGTATGTAAGAGAGATGCGTGGGAGGCTCGGGGCTGTTGCAGTGGGGTGTCCGCCTGATGTCAGGTGAACGTGTCTTTAATAAAGTGCTATCTCAAGAGAAGTCTGTCAAGTCGTCATTACACACACAAACGACAGGAGGTACAAGAGCAATGGGCACGCATAATGTACATGCATAGTGTACGTTGATTACCATATTAATAACACAACCGGTAATGGATGCCCATTGTAATTTATACGCACTCATTAATCCCCCCCCCCCACTTCGCACAAGAAGGGCTCACAAGTGACGTCATCATATCAATTCCTCTGTTTAAGGAACGAAATAGGAGGATTTCTCCACAAATCTGGCTGCCGCCTGATAATGCGAAATGTCATTCTCAGATTGTAAATGTTGTGGATTTGCTCTCCAACACACCGGTGGGCTGTACAAGTAACGAATTGGCATGTTCTGTTTACGTGACAAACCTTACTAATTGGCTGTGTCGGGTGGTGGCGGGTTTAACGACACATTGATATTTACGCGATATAACACGAAAAACGTGTATTATGGATGCTATTGGTTTCGAAAGCCTACGCGCTAAATAGATGTCATTTGAGGTTATAAATTGATTGTTCACGCTTACGGTGGCTTTCAGACCGCATCCATTATTTTCGTCTCCCCCCTCCTCTTCTCCGTGGTGCTAACGTTAAAAAAGACCGCCACTTTTTGCAAATTTTCTTGCTGTGGTTTTCACACCTGGTGATGATTGCTTGTGTTGCAGTCGAAACGTCGTGAGAATTGTATTGTTTTATATTTTTATTATTTTATTGTTTCCCTTCTACGTGACTTTACCGAAAGCACCAAGAATATGAATCCCTGCAGTCACGAAAGCTTTAAATCAAGATATAAAAGACCTTACTAAACTTTCTTATCGTAAACAAAGTGGTTTCTAAGAGTAACCAGCGAGCGATAACTAATTACTTCACGCACGCAGAGCGTCCGTTGAAAAAAAAATTGCGAGTTAGGACGTCACAAAATGGACAATATTGATGTTCACTATTCATACATTTATTTCTCAGAACCCTGATTGGTCAGGCAAGGGGCGGGGGGGGGTACTCTGTTGAAACGAAATTCAACAAGGGGGTTAGAGTCGCCAAAAAATGTTGAGAGCCACTGGGTTGGTTGATGATAATGCACGTGATATCGGAACAATTCATTGTGATGGTGTCGGTGATGAGGTGCAGGTGAGGATAATGATGTCAAGAATGGCTGTAATAAAACGAGGGCAGATGATGTGAGTGACATTCAACATTTTCATTGAGGTGGGGGTGTCAGTGATGGGTGGGTGCAGGTGATAATGATGCTGTAAGTGCTGTGGGTGCAGGTGATAACGATTATATTATCAGTGATGAGGGCAGGTGATAATGATGATGTCGGGGATGAGCGTGCAGATGAGGATGACAGCCGCTAGTCACACGAATATGTACATGGTGTGCTTGTTCGCTGTTGCAGTTAAATTAATTGTATTGAATTGGTGAATGCACTGCCAGGTGGATTGTGCCTTGTCCCACAAAAAAAAATATTCTCACAACGCAATTTGCCATTAATATTTTAAACATATATTTTTTTTTTATTTTAATGAGTTTATTTCGTAGAAATACTTTTGATTATTAAAGGGTTTGTATGTTAATAGCTGCTACAGTATTTTAGTAACTATGCATATGCCCATTTAAAAACTGTTTAAGAAGAAAGCATATTTGTTCAATGTAATTCTCATCAGGCCCCATCGGTGTTAGGTGCAGTCTCCAACCCCAGCCTCTCTGTGCTCTGAAGAAGGGCCATTGCCCGAAACGTCACCTATTTTTTATTTAATATTCCACAACACCGTGTTAGGGGCCGTCCATAAAGACGTCACGCACCTGGGGGGGGGGGGAGGTCAGACATTTGTGACGATGTTTGACGAGGGGGGGGAGGTTGAGAAATGTGACGTCACATCAAAATGCGCAACTTTAAATAAATATAGAATTAAATTTTGATTTAAGAATTTAAGAATTGTTACAACACGAATTGTTATTGTTATAACAACACTCCTACATCAGAGTGCAGCGCCACATTAAATACGCACTACAATGACAATAGTTTAAAGCAATTTGAGGCATGGTTTATTTTTGGGGGGGGAGGCAGAGCTTTGTGACGTCATATTTGAGGGGGGCTCTGACTTTTTGTGACGCTGCGTGACGAAGTGGGGGGGGGGGTCAAAAATCGTCCAAAATCGCATGACGTCATTTATGGACGGCCCCTTACTGACGAATGGCGTCGCGTTATCAGCAGCAAGCAACGTCGGCAAACAACGCGTTTAATAATGATTACGATTATTTCGTAACGTGTGAAAGTCGTCGTGATGGGCAGCCCACGATGATTTGCATGAAGGGGGTCATCCATTTAGTACGTTAGCGTGGAGGGGGGAGGGGGGGTTAACCCAAATGCGTTCGCTTGCGTATGGGGGGGTCTACTGACAATGTGTTTACGCTTAGCAAACGGGGGGGGGGGGGGGGGGGGGGTGAAGCGTCGACAATAATTTGTCTACATTGGATAGTCCGACGGTGGACTATCTGTTTAAACACGTGAATATTATTACTTTTTTTTCATCGTTTCTGCAGTGTATTAATATCGTCGGATTCGGGGGGGGGGCGGGTGCGTCAGGCGTACGTACGCAGGTGGGACGGGGGGGGGGTAAAAATTCCGCGTGCCTGGGGGGTGGGGGGGTCGAGTTGTGACAGATCTTGGCCTCGACCGGTGGCCCCCAACAACAACAACGTCGTGTCACGTGACCTCGGCCCGTGACGTCACCACCATCCTCGTGATATTTTCGAATGCGCTGGAGCCGACGGGGTTGGGGTGGCGGGGGGAGGGGAGGGGCGGCGGGGGGAGGGGAGGGGCGGCGGGGGAGGGGTCTACCACCAAATCTCCCGCCCTCTCCCGCAGCAACGCGCGCGCCCGTTGGCTATAAATGTGCACGTGATCCACGGTTGTCCAATGAGAGGAGCCCGTGAGGTGGTTTCTCTCTCAACCTCCCCCGCCACCTCTCGCGGAAGCTGCTGTTGCCATTTATTGAAGAAGGGCAACGCGAGTGGAGGAAGCGACCAGCGCATTGTGCGGCATCTCCCCTCGACTTTCTCGGCGATAATCGTGCCGTAGTAATCAGCGTGGGTTAGCAGCTAGGAGAGCTGCGCCTCGTTCTGCCTTTGTTCTTGAAGCAGGTCGCGTCCTCCCGTCCCCCCTCTTCACCGCCCGTGAAGCGAGCGAGCGAGATGCGTCGAGTCATGGCCGGCCTGGCGCTGCTGCAGCTGTCGCTGGGACTCGGTGAGTTTGGAGGAGGTGAGAGGATGAGGTGGCGAGTCGAGGTGAACGGGTGGTGGTAGTGGTGGTGGTGATTGGGAGGTTGAAGCGATGAGGTAAAGTGGTGGACGTGGTGTGCGGTGGTTGACGAGCAGGCGAGGTGGTGTGGAAGGGTTGAGGTGGACGAGTGGTGGTGGTGGTTGTGGTGGTAATGATGGTGAATAGGCGATGAATTGGCATACGGTGGGTGTGAAGTTGGTAGAGGTGCTGTGGTGGAAGTGAAAATGAGGGGATGAAGAGAGGATGGGGTAATGCGGCGTGGTTCCCTCTCGTTTCCTCTGGCGAAGCGGCGATGATGCTGGAAGTGGTGAAGACATGGAACGCGATGAGGTGACCGAGGCGTGAGGATTCAAAGGCTCTGGGGTGGCTGTTTACTGTTGGTTTTTGTCTCGCTTTTGTAAATGTATCGACTAAGCGAAACGCAAACCTAAGACATTTTACTCAGCCGGTCACGGTTAAGTAATGCGGTTACGAGCAGACAGAGTTGGCGGGGCGGGGGGGTTGGGATTGCTAAAGGGGTGTTTATCAAGAGGTTGAATGCGAATTCGGTCACAGGTTCTGGTGAGACGATGACCTGAGGCAGAAAGTTGTAGGCGGATTTCCCCGAGTCTTTGTCAAATTTGCTGGTGGAGATTTCTAGAACGAGGTTGCGTCTGCTGTGACCGATGCTTCTGTTGTTGTAGAGTGACTCATGCAGCCAGCTATGGCTCTAGGATTTGGCGTTACATGTTGTTTATTGTAAAAAAATTCGGACGCAGTCCCTGTGATTACTGTTACGTTGCAATTATGGCTTTATTTTTTGGTGATTTCGAAAGCGATTTTTGGTTTGGACATGTTTGTTTTGTTGTAGTACGGAGTTAGACTGATGGCCTTAATCTAAGTTTTCTTGTGGTTGTTGTTGTTGTTTGACTTGCATCCCACTGGGATTTTTTTTTGCACACAGCGTTGGTGTACGGTGCTTTTTTTTTTCAGGAATATTTTTGCTGGGTTTTTTTCATGGATTTTCTGTTTGCACAGTCACAGTCACTTCAAGATGTTTTTCTTGTGCGTGTTTTTGTTTGTTGTGGTTGCACCCGATTCAAGAGCCGAATGGCTCGCAGGGCTATACCAAAATAAATTAACTGAAACTGATTAAAGCAGAGGAGGTTGAACTGCGCCGAGAACGTTCATCTCGCCCCGTGAGGAGGTGATGGAGGGATTTTTAAAGCTGCCACAGGAGGCAATGGAGGATAACTTTTCGTATGGGTCATGTAAACCGATGGTATTATATTTTTTACACGCTTTTTATTAACTCGCTGTCTGTCGTATCAAATCTTTTAACTCAATTTTAACCCGCTTCCCAAATGTGCTATCAACTGCAAACTTGGTATGCTTGTGTCATACTGATGACAATACTATATTCTATCATTAAAGATATATATTTTTAAACATTATTTTTATATGTTATGTTTCGGCTTGGGTCTAATTGTCCACGCTCAACTGACGTTAGCTGTAATTGGCCCATGGTCTCCTTACGTTGTGGAAAGTTTCGGGGCCACTTCCTGGAGTCGTGGAGTTCTTACATTACTAGTACGGTACATTTCATGAAAGCGTGTTTTAAAAAAGTGTTTTTTTAATGTCACTTATTTTTAGCACGGACCTTAGTAACTGCGGCGTACACAAATAATTGGATGCGGCTGCTGGGTTGGCAGTGGTACAACAAGGTGACTTTTGGTTGTTTTGTTTTTACCAGGTAAGACCCATTAAAATAATTTATAGCTCCTTTTTTTCAAAAGCGACCGTGCCACAAATTATAGTTCAACTTTGTCGCTTGTGGAAATTTATAGCATCCAAATAACTCCAAACGCGTGACGTTGCTTCTAAATGTGGAATGGAAGAACCGGAGGACCCAGAGAAAAATCCACGCGGTCAATACCAATACCCGTACCACGGTGCTTGTGCCAGGCTAGGTGCACTGAGGCCACGTGAAGTGTCGTAGGCTCGCCGACAGGAGGTCTCGAGACAGACCCATGTGCCATGGGTTGGCTGACTGATATGAATGGTAGATGCACCAGCTATATCCACGCGACCACTCCAAACATACAACAGGCTTTAGTCGGGAACGAACCCACGACCTCCTGTGTTTACCAGGCGAGGGCGTTAATATCTTGCCACCGCGGCGCCCCAAACAAAATAACTCTGCACACTTAAACTACCCTGTGGCCTGAACAGAGAAACATAATCGGTGACGTGCAAACACGTGCTATGAATAATTACCATTGCCCGAAACGTCGCCGATTATTATTTGTTTTATGGTTATCCGACGGGTTCACCGCTGCCTGGAGTACAGAGTGGTCTTTTGTTTGGCGCCATGTACCTTGGTGAAGCATCTACGGTTACACACTAGTACTATTTTGGAAGTAAACACTCCCCGCAGGTGTATTCGGTCGATTCGCCAGCAAACGCGGACCTGGTGCGGTGTGTAAAAACATCGCCACTGGGGAGACAAAGGCGGCCGGGTGTGGTGCTGGTCACCCACCCACTTGTATGCCGTTCTGGCCTTATAGGTGCTCGCAAACAGCACTTGCCCCCACGGTCTGTTAAGGCTATACAGGGGATCTTTGTTAGCTAATCGCAGACCTTGGATTTTAGTTGAGAACATATTGGTGCACAATGCCTTTTGTTATGGTCATGGCTTATGGGTTCCGTGTTAGGTATTGTAATACTTCTAATTGGCTTTTCTTGCCACGATTCTACAGGAGACAAACTTACACCAGTTTCATTAATAGTTTCTTGAACAGACGTGTAATATATATTTATGTCCATATATTAAAGTGTGGTAATGAACACTAATGCAATCTTGCCCGTAGTGTTTTTTTAACTATTACATCAGTGCAGCGAAGTTCCTGGTGCATAGTGAGGTGATGGAGTGTACTTTGTAAAGTAGTGGTTATCTTGTTATTGTGATATTTTTTTTGTTGATGGCTATTGTCCCTCGTTACAGTCCTTGTAAATATTTATGGTTATAGATGTTGGTGGTGTAATGATGTTGGGTTCTGGCCATGGGTGGTTAATTCTTAACTTGGTTTTAAGAGCCGTCAATCTCATGCTGTCATGAAAAATTGTTTCCATTGAAATAGGTGACTAACAATGACCATGAGCCATAACCATACAATTAACTCTGCTTCTGATTGAGTTAATACTCAAATTTTAAAATAGCGCATTAAACAAGACGGCCAGAAATAAACATCCAAACAGGGAATATTCCACGTTTCAAAAGCACACGTTTGTACCCAGGAACAACCAGACCGTTGTGTACATTCTGAGCCCTGCTGATATGCTGGCACCACAACTTTCCCATTGAAGTGACTCAGAGCCACATGACAATCCAGCGGTAGCAGCTGCTTTTGTAGCTTCACTGGCTGCAATTTGTCAGTACGTAATACTATCCTTTCCTGACGGGGGGCTATGGCCATGCAGCTGATTTAATGAATGTTCATGTTGAAAACACCGAACAAGGGAACTTCGTGAAGGTTTTTTGTTATCTCTTGGCCAATTGAAGCCATTTTGCTGGCTAACCACAGTTATCTCGACACAGACGTATATTTGGCTTTTAATCCATTGCTTCGCAAGAAGGTGAACTACAAGCTCCCACCGTGTATGAGAAAAATATAAACTATGGGTTAACGAAGTAGAATTTGGTACCACCTAGGATTTTTGACAATTTTTTTAAGTTATCAATTAAGGCCCAATGACCTATTTAGCTTTTTTTTCAGAAGCGGCCTGTCCACAAATGATAGCTCAACGAAGTGGCTTATCAGGTGGAAATATATAGCAGACAAATAATCGAAAAGCGTGTTTCTAGATGTGGAGGGAAAAATTGGAGGAACTTGAAGGGAAAATCTACGTGACCAGGGGGAGAACATGCAAACACCAAATATACAGCCGTCAGGGTTCTGGATTGAATCCATGACCTCTTGTATACCAGGCAAGGTGGTTAACATCTCGCCACCATGCCTGATGCCATTAGCGAGCACCACTGGGTGGTGTTGGTTGGCCTTCGTTCTAACCACACTTATGGTGACTGGGAATACGATTGCTCACGACAGTCAGGAGGGCACAGTGGCAATGACTGAGATGAGTTGCGAGCAAGTAATCCAATGTAGGGGGCACCGCGTGAACGTTGCTACTTTGCCCCCCATGTTACAAGCGAAGTTGCCACTTGGAAAGAGATCCTGGTCAATCGATCAATGGTCACCTTAAGTCTGACAATTCCTCCTGCCTTCGCAGTAGGAGCAAATAGGAATGGCTCAATTGATACAATCAAACCCAAGGTTCCACCACATAAATGCCAATCTTTAGGTGCCTATGCAAATTGGCAACGTAGGTTTTAAGATGCCACAGGACCTTGGTTTTATTGTCGTGTTGTTATGGTCAATAGTCCTGGTAAACGTGTGGGTTATCGGCCATGAATGTGTTTACGGCGATTGAGCTTGGTGCAGTTGGTTATAAATTAATCCAAACTTGTCAGCCTATTTGAGAAGTATCAGTTCCTTTTTCATTTGTTCAGTGAATTCTAGGGGAAGTGGTTTTTTTTTCGTTCGGAGTGCCTTTATGAAAAGTTCAGCATGTGGTTTGCACGTTACATTTTGCCTTTTTAAAGCAGTGTTCCAAGGTTCCCTCAATGAATTGTAAGGTGCTGAAATGCCAATGATTGGTGGGAATTTGCACCTTTTGCTTATCTGAAGGTGACTTGAAAAATCTCCAGAAAATTTGGAAACCCTGCCGCAGAAAATGTGCACTGGTTAATGAGGCTGCTTAATTGTGCTTACCTCCATGCCTGAGCCACTGAATTTTTACAACTCGACTATTTTCCAAAAGCTCTGCCTACATTTGGGTTTTCATTGCATGTTTACTGGTGTCAATGTTTTATTTTATATCATTGTTTTTAAAATAAATGTTTTACTTCTGGTGTACAGCGCTTTGAAGATTACCAATTTGGAAGGCACGTTATAAAACAGAATTTATTATTGCTGTTTGCATGGGCCCTGGTGTTGCTATGAGCTAGGTGTGATAGCACGGTCCTCTGGTCTGGACAGAGGTAGATTTTATCACTCGCAATTTTTTCGAAAACGCTCAAACCCGCTGTGTGCGACGAGGTAGCCTTAGAAGATGGCAGTACAGCTGTTTTTGTTGATGAGCCCACTTCGTGCGCACACCCTTGAGTTTTAGTTCCTTTTCAACAACTTGGTGAGGTTTTATTCGAGGTGCTGTGTTTTCCTCTATCCCTGAGTAATAAATTGGCCAAGCATCCCAATGCTGGATTTTCCAAAAAATGTTTGCGACCAATATAAAACAAACCACGGTATTGCGATCGTGATGATGTAGACTCAGGGGCGGTGCAAGCTTCAATAAGCACGGAACGCATTGGGAATTGGCTCTCCCCCTGCAGGCCGTGATTGTCACGAACTGTGACGTCATGTTAGCCTGCCCGCGGCAAAACTGCCCGCCGAGTCCTTTTGCACAAGCATTCGCGGACCGATCCGTGCCTCGTGTTGGTTTATCCACCTGCTGTAAATCTCGTGTTTGATGTGGCGCCATCTTCCCTGTCCCGTGGCCTGCACAGCGCCGTAGGTGCCGCCCCTCAGAAGTGCACCTACGGCCCGAGCTACTGGTGCCAGCGACCTCGCAGCGCCACCGAGTGCAGCGCCGTGCAGCACTGCGCTCAGACCGTGTGGAACAAGCCTACCGCCGTGCGTGACGCACCACAGCAAGGCCCGCGTCGCGACCCACGACGGCACACCGCACGAGCACATCGTATCACGCCCCACTCTACAGCACACCGCGTTACGAGCCGCATTGCAGCACGACGCACGAGCGGTGTGCCACATTGGCACACCGCACCACGACCACGCTGTCGCACACAACCTTTTGCGCCTCACTATTTGCATCCACGACCACATGCCTAATTGTCAAGTAGAGGGTAGAGCAGAACAGAAACCCCTTTCCTCCTTGGCAGCTGAACTAACGTTGTACTGGGAAAGTCTGAACGAACCATTGTGCGCTGAAATGTGCTATCATGGCCCCCAAGCTCCCGACGTTTATCTTGCCATTGCATTGGATGTTATCGATAAACTGGAATGCGGCATCCTATCTGTTGCACTAGTATGCACATGTGACTTTGTGGAGCAGTGATTAGCGGGCTGCGCTACGAACTCTGCGACCAGCGTGTCGATTTCCTGCTCATGGCCGTCACCAGTGACGATTATTTCAACCGGTCCTGGGCCTCCCCTAGGTCGAATTTGGCCTCAAATTAGTACCTGCTGCATGATTTGTAAATATTGCCCCTCGGGAAGACATAGCCAGCTGGGCATGGTGCTGGCCACCCAATCCCTTCGTGTGCCTATACCGGCCTTCATAGGTGCTTGTTAAGAGCACTTGACCCAGCAGTCTGTTATGCCTATGCAGGAGATCTTTATTTTTGCTTGTGGGTGCTGTTAAAGGCTATATAGATTGAGGGAGGGATGTGTGTTTGTTTCTCAAGCAGAATAACCAGCTGTGTGATACTTGCAAGGAGGTGGTGACGGTGGTGCGGGACATGATGCTGGGAAGTGCCACGGAGGTGAGGCTGCTCCCGTGTATAATTATTATTATTCGTTGCTGTTATAACACGCTTACACCGGTGTGTTTCAGAGGTATTTACACCCGCTAAAGCGACTCGCATCTCTCAAACATTGCAAAGGGGCATCCCCAGTGGCAGCTGTCCCCATGTGACTCGGCACTTGGCCTGCCAGTGAGTCTTGTCAAACAGGGGCGATTGCTGTGAGGAGTAATGCCGATTTGAGTAGTTTGTGGGTAATTACTCTTTGGTTCTATTCAGTAAAGTCACGTAGGTAAAAATTAAACACAAAATCACGACATTTCGGCCACAACACAAGCGGCCTTCATCAGGTGAAGGGACCAGGCTGTCTCCGAGGACAGCGCTAGAGTGAAACACAGCCACGCTCAGACCGCAACCTTTAAGCTGTGTGCGAGGAAACGAGGTGCCTTGACAAAGGAATTAGCATAAAAAATAGCATTTGATTGGCCGACTTAGCATGATGAACGGTGTAGAGGTGGTGTACATGCGGGTGAACATGCCGGTTGGGCGAGGGGGGGGAGGGGGAGTCTACCTATTGATGGTGTGAAAAGGAATTTTTAAGAGCTGCGAAAGTTTGGGGTACCCCTACTTGAAAAATATACTGTACCATTGAAAATCAGTTTAATGTTTGGTTCGATTTAGAACATCTTTCCAATGGTTGCTTAATTTGAAAACCATCTTCTCGGTTGAAATTGTGTCTGTTTGTAGATCTAAATTGCCTCGTGAACAAATCTGATAAAAACCCGTGGGTTTTCAAAAGAACCTTGGTATTGGAGAAAATTATATCGTGATCACCAGTGTTGTAACAGTGATCCTTGCAGTCACGAAAGCTTTAAATCTATAATTTTTTTCAATGGGAGACCTTTAACCTTGTGATATTTTTTTTATTTAAAGCTTTCGTGACTGCAGGGATTCATATTCTTGGTTCTTTCGGTAAAGTGACTTTATTTGTGATATTTGTGTTCATCAGTGTGACTGCAGTCCCAAATTCTTGCGGTCAAACTCTTGACCAATACACACCAATGGCAGCTGTTTGTCTGTTGCTGACTCCCCTGAAGTAACAACACATTTTGGCATGATGGCGTTTGCCCCCCATCAACCCCACACCCCTCTTATGCCACCTAGCCCGTGGGAAACATGCAGCCAAACAACAAAAACAGCTCCTTCTTTGACTGTGCCTCGGGGCTGTCTGACTTGATTTGATGATGGCATTTGCTCCATCAAAGGGCCTTCTCGCGACCTCCCCGTGCTGATTTGGCATGAAGCTCATGGGAGTGAGGTCTGTTATGGCAGGAGTGCCATAAACATGTTCACGACCCATGATTGTAAAGTTACGTCGTTCATGAACAAACCTATTGGGGAGCATGAGTTTGCGTTTATCCCACTGAGCTATAACTACGTTGATTTTTGTTTCCATTCCTCTCGGTTACATCGTCAGTGAGGCTTATCTATCCTTGGCTTTCCTAAGGCCTTAAATGAATAACTGGTAGACTGCAAACACCAGTACCGTGGCGAAAAAAAGGTGACTGTGCAGTGTTGTCCACTCGCCCCTCCTGCCACTGTGGCTGCCCTTGCTTGCCTCACTAACAGCACTTGCCTTGACGGCAAAACCTGCGGCTCCGAAGCCGCACGCGGCTCTGAAGGAACTGCTTCATGATGTTATTCACAATGCGGTCGCGGCTCTGAGAAATATTGAGGTTTTTACCGAATTCGTAAAAAAAAAAATATGACTGATTTTTTTTTTTGGGTTGTCAACCCCTTGGCCTATAGGGATAAATGGTGGGATCATTTGCCTGTGTGTGTGTTCTTGCTTTGTCCCCTTCCCTGCCCCACCCCCCACCCCCCCAGGCTCAGTTGAAGGCGTACCTGGAAAGTGCCTGTTCCATGATGTCCGATCCAGGGCTCATTTCCGAGTGCCGGAAGTTGGTGGACAATTACCTGGACAATGTTTTGGACATGCTCAAGCATCAGATGGTGACTCTCTCATGCCGGCTCTTGGGCACTCCCCAAAAGTATTGTGCGGCTCCCTCTGTAAAAAAAACTAAACAATTTTTTTCTTTTCTTTTTTTTAACCAGTTAAGGCGCCCCCTGAGCTATATAGCTTTCAGTAGCGTGACCTGGCTATCACAAATTATAACTCAATAGTGGCTCATTGTGTGTACATTCATAGTCAAATACTCCTCAATGCATGTTGATTCTAAATGTGGAGGGGGAAAAACCAGTGGATGAATAAGTCGCGCGTCCCCAGAAGCATCCTCCGAAAGAAGTCTAGCAACTCGGCGGGGCTTTTCCTAAATGAAATAAAATCGCCATGCCTCGCTGATGTGACCCGGAGACGTGGAGAAGTTAAAATGCATCTTGGGTTTTTCTTGTCTAAAACGTATTCTGCCTAAAAAAAAAAAACATTTTTGTTTGAGAGATCCCATGGTCTTTGGACCAAAGAGAATTTTTATTTTGACAACAGAGGTCTTCCCTGATGAATTATTATTAACACTAAACACTTTTAATTTGGTTTTGCTGCATCAGCAGTGGTGTAAAAATGAAAAATATAAAATCAACATTCGTCAAATAACACTGCAGCAAAAATAAAGTGTATAATAGGCAATGTTTCGAGCTTACGTCTCTGGCCTCTTGTCTGTAAAGAAGGGCCATTGCCCAAAACATAATTGTAACTTTTTTAAGGCAGTGTTATTGACAAATGTGGTGTTTTTTTATTTTATCAGTTTTCTAAAGTCGAAAGGAAACCCTGCATATTCAGGTAGTGTAATATAATGCTGGCATTCTGACTTTATCTGATTGCTTGACCACAAGCACAGCTCCCATCTATTCACTGCTGGATGAGGGCCTGCCGCGTGACCCCATACCATGCGGGCCGTGTGGGCTGTTTTACCGTACTTGATCAGATTTCTTTTTTGTGTACAATCTTGAGAGAAATGTTGGTGAGATCCGTATCAGTCGGTTTCAGCCGGGACTTTTGTGCGTTTGTACAACTAACTGATTTGTATCTCCTTCAAATGCAATATAACATTGAAGTGTGTCAATATTTTATTTTCCGGTGTATTGCCAAACTCGGGTTTGGCTGACAGGTGTGTGACAATCTAAAACTGGGCAAACTAGGAAATAACTCCTTGGAGAGGGGGGGGAGAAAATGTTTTGAGAATTTGTATGTTTCTTTGTAGTCCTTGTCGCAAAGAACTGAAGCATAGATGAAGGTGGCATAGTAAGGTGTGTGATACTTCCCGTATTTTATTTTCAACGTGCAGAAGGTTATCAAGAAGGCTTCCTCTGCTGTTGCCTTTCAAAAAGTGCAGACGTTGAACGTTTGCTGTACTCGTAAGTCTTCTGTCGTACAGTGACGATATTTGACGGACAAACAGGGTACGTTGTAACTGGTCAAGTGTCGTAAAGCAGCGTAGTGTACCCGACTGACACGGCAATAAAAAATGGGTGGTGGGAAAATGAAAGTCGATGTTTTCTCACGGCAATGGGTAAGACGGGGCCTCCAGGCTGAAATGGGGAAAAAACCAGCAGACAGGTCCCATTTGGGGAAATGCCCAATTTCTAAAAACGAGTCCTTTCGTGTGAAACTTGTGTCTTTTTACAAAATTGAAGGGGAACTTGAGCGAGGGTGTTTTTAGAAAAATGCGGCGGAGTATACGGAAATCGCATGTTTGCTTTGTGCACTTGCCGTTCCCGCATGACTGCAGAGGGAGAAGTTGCGGCGCTTTCCGCCCTTGCTTTGTAATGACTCGGTTGTTACCGATTCGGTAACGAGTTTAAAGTTCAAGTTAAGGCATCCCAGATGACCATTTACTGATACACGGCTCAGCAACGCTGGTCTATGCTGCAATTGGGAAATCTGGTTTTGACCACATTTGCTCCGGTACAAACTCTCCGTGGTCTATATATGACGGCGTCGATGCGGGGTCGGGAGGGGGGGTGTGTGTTTGACAGGAAGGTTGGCAGAGCGATGGATGATTGTTATGGCATGGCGTTAGTGCTACACTCTTGCCTGCAGACGATTGGAGAACTGTTGTACCAGTGTGCAAATATTGTGGGGTGGACTCTCATCTCTTCTCCATGCCGCCACTGCGATTCGCCAGGAATGGTTGCGTGCAGAGGCGGCAGCAGATGGCTTTGTGGTTTCCTGCACCTGGTTTTTGTGCGTTACGCATGTTGAACTTCTCGCGCACCGTACTTAGCCAAGTTGTGTTAATCGGAGGTGCGGGGGGGAAGGACAAACTAAACGCAAAAAAAAACATTTTAAAGAAATTACTTTTTAATTTAGATTTGAAAGTGCATAGCTCCCAGTAGCTTCCTAATCTGCAGATCGGTGATTTAAAATAATACTTTCTCCATAATGAAGCTATTTTTTTGATAGTGGATTTTTCTCGTATTCTGTTGGGAATGTAAAGTACCCTTGGTGATTGAAAGCCACGACTATACAAGTCTTGATTTCAGTAGTGCTGTGCCATCTAAAAGAATGGAGCAGTGTTTTGTACATTTTACTGAAACTGCTGATCCGAGTTGGATTTTCAGCCATGGCTAAATTCAGTAGCCAGGGACATCTGAATCGGTCCTCCCACCCCCTCGCACAACCCACACGGACCAGTGCGGTGAAGTATGCTCAAACAACCTTGTCTCACAGCGGATTGATGGAAGAGGGTCTAACTCATTTTGTATTTGCACGTTATTAACTGTGGGGAGACGACGGACCTTCTCTAATGCCTCGAGGACCGATTTAACAATAATTTTATCACAATGGCACCTTTTTTGTACACCACTATTATGTAATATGCATGAAATGGACTTAACTTTCTGACGACCTCCCCCAAGATGTGTAATGCTCCGTGCGATGTTCGGTCACTAGTACCCACGTGGCGTTTGTGGCCTGAGTGCCGGGTCTGGCTCGGGGCCGTGTTAGCGTAGCACCAGTCCTGAACAACCATTTCATAAACCTCAATGTGCTGCAGTGTGCAGCTAAAAGACTTGCTATTTTCGACAACACTCCCCTTAGCTGTTTCTTCACTGCACAGAGATGGATGGTAATACTGTGGAATCCTACAAACTTCATTTGTGAATATTATTTACGTGATATTCAAGCCTTTGACCTACAAATGTTATAGAATTTAAACTGAACTGAAAAAGCAATAAAGCCACAACGTTGGATCTTGGGACTGAGCGGGCCACTGGCACAGATGTGGTGTTTGGTACACTAGAGGACACACCCTGGCTTTATGCAGCGAGTTAAATACAACTCGAGATTCTGTGCAAGGATGTGACGTTTGTCATGGGCGATTTTTTTGAGACAGTGATATGTGGTTGGGGAAAATGGGAGGAGTTTTTTTTTATATTGCACGATAATTGGACTCTTCAGCAGAACACACTTTGGAGGTGCGATTTGGCGAATCGTTTAGCTATGGTGAAGGTTCCAACCCGACTGGGCTGTTCTGTGGCCATTATGTGGCAGTACATCAAATTGGTTTGCGAACCCATCATTAATATTGAGTGTCTTGCCTTAATTTTGGTGAGGTTTTTGTCTGGTTTGCTTTCGGTTGGGTAAAACATTCCGCTCGGTGGCGATGTTAACTACTTGGCCTGGTATATAGGGGGTTTGTGGGTTCAATCCCGACCCTGACGGAGTTTGCGTGTCTTTCTCTCCCCGTGGTCACATGGATTTTTCTCCGGGTCTTCCGGCTTTTCTCTCCACATTTTAGGTGTGTGCATTTACATTATTTCAATTATTTGGCTGCTATAAGTTTCCACATGAAAAGCCAACTTTGAACTATCATTTGTGGCCAGGCCACTTCTGAAAAAGAGCTGTATAGCTCTGTGGGCTTTGCGTAGTAAAATTAAAATTTTTAAATATCCCAATGCATAACTACCAAAATGTCTTTGAAAACAAATGGCGTGAATGGTTCCATGTACGTGTGGCGGTGGTTTATATGGGGAACGGTAGCGTAGCGGTTAGCGCGCTACACTTCGAGACCAGAGTTTGATTCTCGCTCAAGGCCAACGCCAGTAACTATCTGAACCGGTTCTGGGCCTTCTCCAGGTTTACTCGGCCTCAAATGTGTACCTGGTTGGGTGTGTAAACATCGTCGCTGGGAACACAAAGGCAGCTGGGCGTGGTGCTGGCCACCCACCCCCTCGTGTGCCGTGCCAGCCTTCATAGGTGCTTGCTTAAGAGCACTTTCCCAAACAGTCTGTTGAGGCTAAGGGGGGGTTCTTTGTCTTTCTGTGCAGGATCCGAGTGTGGTGTGCACAGCTCTGACCGTTTGCAAGACCCAGCAATCTGTGAACGAGCATCGAATCTCCACCAACGACATCCCCGTTCCCGAGGTTCCCATCCTGGAGATGCTGGAGGAGAAGTTGAAGGTGTGTGTGGGGTGCTGCACGCGGTACTGGGGAGCGCCCCGTAGCAAAGTAGCTATCGAGTGTGCGGGCCGTACAGCTGCACCGGAGTCGGAGGAGACCAGGTGCCTGGTTACAAAGAGAGTGGGCGGGGGGCATTTCATTCCCCGCACCAGAGCCCCATGCCAATGATGCGACACCTCGGCGAGCAAATGTTCCTCCTGCAGCCAACGACGGCTCGGGAGAAGCCTTGATGGAGGGGGGGGGGGGGGCTAATGCTTGTTTAATTGCCTTGGCACCAGCACAGCCTGTAATCCTGGGTTAAAGTTAATTTTGGTTTCTCAAGTTAGACGATTTTTTTTCTAATGGAGTACTGTTTGGATTTGTATGTACATTGCACCACATCTTGGTGCTGAAGACAATTAAGTGAAAAGCTGTAATTCAGCAATATTTTTTGCATGACGCGTAAGCGCCGCCACTTTCTGTGTGACGAAAGAGAGGATGTGTGTGTGTGTGTGTGACCTGTAGTGTGGTGGATGAATGCCGTGTTGGTGAGACGAAACTGTTGGCGCTGCCAGTTGAAGTCCCCCTCTCTGCGTGCGGGGAGTTATTGGCACGCCGCGCAGAGCCTGTAGCCTTTATCGCAACCACGGGCACAACACTAATCGAACTGTGCACGCTGGTGCGTGTGCAGAAGGGGAACGGCGACGTGTGTCACGACTGCGTGGCGTTCCTCAAGGACGTGCAGGACCTTATCAAGAAGAACCGCTCCTATGCCGATGCACTCATCGACGCCGTCTCCAAGCAGTGCGACATGCTTGGGCCTGACATGTCCGACGTGGTGAGGACGCGTCCGGGCCCTCCCCCCACCATTGCCATTCTCCTCTTCCTCGGGGCGTGCGCTCCGTACCTCGTTTTTGTTTTATTTTAATTCTGCAAAGTTCCGCGTTGCAAGCAAAACCAGGCAAAGGTAGCCGTTAATCTGAGAAATTAGCAGTAAATGTTCTTTAAACTTAAAGGTGCTTGGCACCCATCCACGTTTGGCTGGGACGGTTTCCGTTTCAGAGCGGCTGTCCCAAAGCTTTTGTGAAAGTATGGATTCTTTTTTTTGTTCTGCTTTGCTCTGCTCGTGATAGAGATATAAGTGTGGGGCGACTTCAGCGGTGGGCAGGGCCTGCGTGCATTGGGCGTAGCCGTCTACAATGACCAGGAGGCTGCTGTCCATGTTCGGGGCTTCAAAATGAGTGGGCGTGGCTATGTGTAAGTAGGCGGTGCTAATTTAGGGATGAGCCTGCCGCCAGCTCACCACGTGGCTCGGTTGGGAACTACCGTAGGTTTTACTAGGTATGCCTCGACTGAAACGAGCGGATTTCTGTGAGCGGCCCTTGGACCCCCATCGCCAGTCGCACTAACCACAGCGCCACCTAGCCGGCCCGCACTCTATAAGCAGGCCATGTTTTGACAATTTTAGCGATATTGATTAATGCCGATGCACAGGAGCAGCCAGGCTGTCGCTGTGTAACACAAACGTTCACCCCCCCCCCTTCCTCTGTTCCCACCCTCATTCATTTACAGTGCAAGCAATACGTGTCTGCCTACGCCGACAGATCGTGCAGATGTTCATGGGCTCGGTAAGGAAGGCCTTACTCCCCCTCCTGCATGCTCCCTTTTTTCTTCCCTCCCTCCCTTCTCCCACATTTGTTGTGCCCTTCCCGTAAATCTCGCACGAACACCTCGCACACCCCCGCCGTCAATTCCTCTTCCCTGTCCCCCTTGCTTTCAATGTCATACACACCATTATTATCAAGGTTATTTGGAACCTAGTGTTGTGTAAGCACTGCGACTGATTTTGTGTCTTTTGCTTCTCGAAATGTATTGAAACTGCAGGCCGAGGTACGTACGACGAGTTTTTTTATGTACACCCCTAACCGCATCTGTGCCCTCTTTCATTTTTAACCCCGACCGTCACATCCTCCACCATGACCTGTGAAACCAACCGCATGCTGCGTGCCTTTCCCTTGTCCTTCACGTCATCATTGGCAGGCTCTGATGCCTGTGTGCCGTGCCCGTTAGTTTCCGTGCAGGCCCCCCCCTCCCCCGTGTCTCTAACCGCACAGTTCGCTTGCAGCGACGCTAACTCAGCAGAACTAACATAGCACTGATCGGTACCATGCAGCGGGAGCGGTGGCTGGTGGCAGTTGTTCCACACAGTTGTTTTGCATCGTTTGTTTATCCCTTACTGTTGAGGGGGCTAGCTGTGTTACTTTTGACGTGGGTGGCAGCCTGCTTTGGAATAATCTGTTGCTTGGTATGCATGTTTGTATGGGCCCACATGATGATGTGTGTGTGTGTGTCTGAGTGTACGTCCATTAGTGGAGGGGTGCCGCGGTGGCGATGTTAACTAGCTCACTTGGCATGCAGTAGGTCGTGGGTTCAGTCCAGAGCCTCACGCCTGATATATTTGCAGTTTGCATGTTTTCCCTGCGGTCGCATTAATTTTTCTCTTATTTCCTCTGGTTTATCCCTTCCATTTGGAATAGACGTGCGTTCAGTGTATTTGGCTGCTCTAAATGTCCATTATGATGAGCCACTTTGAGCCATCCATTTGAGGCCAGGTCACCTCTAGCATACTGAGCCAATATCCCCAAAGCCTGGGTTTGATGCCTGATGATGCAGAGCATTGGTTAAAAGTGAAATATATGCCATTTTCTGAACCTCTATTTTAACTGATCCTTTTAATGAGTACCTGGCACATTCTGAACATCAGCATTTGAACAAAAATAATACCCTATCAGTATTTCAGGCCACAACACTGTGTCATGCCGGCCTTTAAGTACTCGCGAACAGCACTTCCTTGCGGTCTACACCATTTAAATGGGGGATCATCGTTTGAATGTGTGCGCACCATTGACTAAAACAGTGATGCCCCTCTGACTGTGTGTGTGCAGTCTCCAGAGGTCCTGTGCAGTGGTGTGGGCATCTGTTCCAAGGCCAAGCACTCCCCTCTTTTGAGTCTGACCCCTGCGCTGTCCATCAAGGTGAATAGTCTTGCAGACGCGTGCCTTCCCACTTGCTGACCAAAAAAATGATTTGGTCCCAGTTGCACAAGGCAAGCGTGTGATTCCTTCGCTCACTCAATCGTTAGCATGCACTCATGCTAACGCCTGGATGAACTGCGAAACGCAATGTGCAGAGATGTCATTTTTGTCACTGCGACTCCACCGTACGTACCCCCCCCCCCTCGTGTGTTAATTTCAGCCCTCGGAGCCATCACCATCGGGTCATTTGAATTATTGATCAATTGCGGTACCAGCATTGAATTTGTGCGAGTACGACCTTGAGTGTGTTACTGTAATTCTAGATTTAAAGCTTTCGTGACTGCTAGGATCCATACTCTTTGGTTCTATTGGGTAAAGTCACGTAGGTAAAAAATAAAATAACAAAAATCACGACGTTTCGGCCACAACACAAGCGGCCTTCATCAGGTGAAGGGACGAGACTGTCTGGAGGACAGCGCTGGAGTGAACAAAAGCCATGCTCGGATCACGACCTTTAAGTTGTGTGAGAAGAAACAAAGCTCCTTAACAAAGTAATTAGCATATAATTTAGCATTGAAATGACTCATTGAAATAGCTAAGTTAAAGTATACACATCCGCAGAGGCACCCCTTGACAAAGGAATTAGCATAGAATTTAGCATTGAAATAGCTGAGTGATTAGCTTGTAACTGGTCACAGAAATAGCTATGTTAAAGTCGGAGCATATACATTCACCAAGGCACCTAGTACAAATCAAACAGAAGAATTTAGCGAAACACAACCACGCTCAGACCGCGGACCTTTAAACTGTGTGCGAGCAAACAAGGTCTCCTGACAAAGAAATTAGCATAAAAATTAGCATTTGATTGGCCGATTTTAGAAAAGAGGTGGTGTACGTGCCGGTGGACTTGCCGTTTGGCGTGGGGGGGGGGGGGGAGTTTACCTATTGATGGTGTGAAAAGGGAATTTATAAGAGCTGTGAAAGTTTGGGGTACCACTACTTGAAAAATATACTGTACCATTGAAATTAGTTTAATGTTTAGTTCGATTTAGAACATCTTTCCAATGGTTGCTTAATTTGAAACCATCTTCTTGTTTGAAATTGTGTCTGTGTTTGTAGATCTGAATTGCCTCGTGAACAAATCTCTGATAAAAACCCGTGGGTTTGCAAAGAACCTTGGTATCGGAGAAAATTATATCGTGATCACCCACAGCGTTGTAATAGTGATCAGCCACGGCAGAAGAATTCGTTTTGCCGTGTTTCAAATATGATTTGTGCTCGCGAATTCGGTCGGAGACATGTTGCTTTGTCTCCCCGATATAGCAATCACCGCAGGTACAACTCAATTTGTAAACCCCGGGGTACTGTAAGTCAGGAATGACATCCTTCACGAATGGGATCAGATCACGAATTTTGTGTATTGTATTGAACCGGACCTGAATCTTGTGTTTGTTTAGAATTTTGGAAATCTTTTTAGTAACGCCTGCTATATATGGAAGTGTGATGGTTTTGACCGGAGTATCAAGTGGTTGTTTCTGTATGGAGGGAGAAACAGCTTGGCGGATGGTACGGTCAAAGTAACCATTCCTTTTGAGGGCCAGGTGTACATGTTTTTAATTCACTGGTCAGGTGGTGTTGGTCCAAAATGCAATGAGCCCTATGGTGTAAAGTCTTGATGAGAGTGCTTTTGGGCTGGGTGGTGGTGGGAATCAGGTTTCAAGTAGGAATCTGTGTGGGTGGGTTTCCTGTAGACAGAATGCCCCAATGAGCCATCAGGTCTCCTCTCAAACAGAACATCTAAGAATGGTAGCTTGCCATCTTTCTCCACTTCCATGGTGAATTTGATGGCGGGATGTCTGGAATTGATGTGGTGTAGGAAAAGGTTCAGAGCTGGGAGGCCATGTGGCCAATTGACGAAAGTGTCATCCACATATCTTTTCCACAGGGAAGATCTGAGGGTGGAAGTCTGGATGGCGTCTGATTCAAATTTCTCCATGAAAATATTGGCTATCACTGGTGATAAGGGGGATCCCATGGGGGTACCATCATTTTGTTTGTAGAAGGAGCCATTCCAAGTAAAGTAGGTATTGTTGAGGCAGTGCCTAACCAGTGCAGGTGTGTCGGGGTCTAGTCCATGTTGGACCAAATTTTCAATTATTTCAATGGTATCAGGTACTGGGACCTTGGTGAACAAAGAGACCACATCGAAGCTGACAAGGATATCGTCAGGGGACAGTACAACGTCTTTGACCATAGAGACCAATTGGGCTGAGTTAAGTACTGCTGAGGCGGTCTTGCCAGTGAAAGGCAGCAAGGTATCTGACAGAAAACGGGCTAATCTATAGGTAGGGGAGTTGATCGTGGATACGATGGGTCGTAGTGGGGTGCCTTTATGAATCTTGGGAAGACCATAGAATCTAGGGGTTCTTGCAGCAGAAGGTTTTAGGGAGGGACGTTTAGTTGGGTCGATTAGGGAGGTCGAACTTGTGATGATCTTGTTGGTTTTTATCGCTAGGCTATTAGTAAGGTCATTTTTTATTTCTGTGACCAGTTACAAGCTAATCACTCAGCTATTTCAATGCTAAATTCTATGCTAATTCCTTTGTCAAGGGGTTCCTCTGCGGATGTGTATACTTTAACTTAGCTATTTCAATGAGCCATTTCAATGCTAAATTATATGATAATTCCTTTGTTAAGGCGCTTTGCTTCTTCTCACACAGCTTAAAGGGTCGTGATCTGAGCGTGGCTTTTTTTCACTCCAGCGCTGTCCTCCAGACAGTCTCGTCCCTTCACCTGATGAAGGCCGCTTGTGTTGTGGCCGAAACGTCGTGATTTTTGTTATTTTATTTTTTACCTACGCGACTTTACCCAATAGAACCAAAGAGTGTGTGTTACTGTAGGTAGGCGACGAGATGTCAAACTAACCATTTGAAATGTGAGCCCGTCGGTCGTGTAACTGATCACATTGCTGCGCATAGCTCCGGCCCGTCGCAAGACAACGCGCAAGAGACCGGTGGCGCCGTCCCGACTGCGGGGAACGTGGTATTTTTTTTAAAGAGCGTGGTTTCGGCATGCTCGGCGACGTAGCGCGACGTGACGCCGTGTGTGTGCGTGCAGCAGAGCCGCGTGCCGTCGTCGCTGAAGGGAGGACCAAATTGCGTCATCTGCGAGTTTGTGATGGAGAAGCTTGATGAGCTGATCGGCAACAACAAGTCTGAGGTGAGTTCCTGGCGTGGCGCGCGGTCTGTGCTCACGTGATGTCTGCACGGGTGTCGGTCGTGTGTCGCCGCTCCACTGCGTGTGCAGGTTTGCGGTGGGGCGAGTTCATTTCTGACGTGATGGAGAAGCCTCAGTTATATCGAGCTCAGCATGGAGTTAAACTCTTAGGTCGAAATCTGGCCTCATCTCTCGGTTGTACGTATATGTGTTGAACTTCTTTCGTACGGCACGTAGCCTAATCGTAGGTGCCAGAAATGTGAGCGGGTTTTAAAATGAAACTTACATTAGCGTTACAATAATTGCGCATCTAGCCGTATGTCCAGATTTTCCTCTTGTTTGCATCGATTTAAAAACATCCGATCTGTTCTCCTCGGGCGTACGCGTCTGTTAAACCATACGAACTTTGAGTGCAACGTACTGCACGTATAACCGTGTAGATTGTGTTCATCTGTCCACCCTTCGCACCAGACATGGGTACTTGGTGTCCTTAACCTTTTTGTTGCAACCGCTACGAGCGATGTAGTCTTTTACTTTTACGTAGCCACCGAGATCATAAGGTGTAAAACGCTTAATTACATCCAAAACCTCATTTGAAGCCCAAATCGACTAGGCCATTGGGCACTGCTATATAACGTTGCTGACTTGTCATTTTAAACCAATATTGCTGCGACGGGGCCCTTCTAAAGAATGGTCTTAATGCTGCTAGCCCCACTACAACTAACTTTCCTGGCATCTTCTGTAAGTCTCTGTGGTTCCTTACGGACGGTACCCTGCCGCACGGTAACAACCCGTTCCTCTAATGACAAACTATGGCGAGGTACCTCTTTCTTACGCGCCAAGATTGTGCAAATTGTTTCTGCTCTGAAAACAATAGCTCCTCCGCCAATGAGTAGCCAAGTTCCTAACTCCATCCCTGGCCATCTTTGTTCTCCTACTCGGTCATGGCGCTACAAGCGTTTACGCGCCCAGTTCCACTGCATTCGCCCCAAAAAACAAAACGTGTGTGCGTATTATTTACGGTGGTATTTTTCCCGGTAGTCTGCTCCGATAACGTGCTAGTAGCGTTCCTGAAGAACACCGCGTTACGGAGAAATGGCGTTACAATAAATAATGTAGGGTATAGCACAGTCGGCAATAACACCGTCAGATGCGTATGCAGGCAGAACAGACTGAGGGATGCGAGTAGCATCTAGCAGCATCCCACCTTGTGATGCTGCACCGAGGAAGCCGTTCAACCGCTTATTCCTACTCGCGCGATTGTAGTTCCGTTCACTCGATCGCGTTCTATCCAGTTCGCAACCGCGTTTGGAAAAAAATGCGTTTCCCCAAATTACATTCACCACGGTCTGTATCCGATTTGCGTTGTGAAAACCACGCGTTGTAGGAGAACGGACTGCGTACGTGCAGAATTTTCGTTTGCGACGGCGACCATGCCCTTTAAATGTGCTTCCCCCCCCCCCCCCCCGCAGGCAGAAATTGTCAAGGACCTGGAGCTGGTGTGCTCCCACCTGCCCAGCACCATCGGCGGCGAGTGCAAGGAATTTGTGGACACGTACGGGCGCGCCGCCATCGAGCTGCTGGTGCAGGAGCTGGACGCCGGAACCGTGTGCACCTTCCTCGGCCTCTGCAAGAGCGAGGCTCGGCGGCTGGCTCTGGCGAGAGGTACGCGGGGGGGCCCCCCGAGCGGCGTCGCAGCCGGCCGCCGCTTGTTTTTCGCGAGCTTCGCGGTACCAATTTGTTGCGGGGCCGCCCCCGGTTAATGTCGCCGGGTGCGTTTTTAACCGTAAGGTACTACGGAGCCACTGCAACGCGGCGGAACATTTAAGGTCGCGTAAGAGTGGGGGCCATTGTACATCCAGTGTCGGTGTATCTGAATTTTTCCCAAGGTTTAAAAAAATTACACCGCAAATTTCACAAAATTGGGATTGCACCGTGCAACGTGGCTCGCTGCTCTGCTGTGAAACTACTGCAGACTGAAGCGGCGCTTTTGTGAGCACCCTGCACTCTAAGAATGGCATGAATATCAAATGTCTTTTCCCTTCCAGCTCCCCCGCCCCCCCCCCCCCTCACTAATTACCCTCCACGACCATGTTGGTAGTGGTTGTGTTAGAAGGTGATCTTTTTAAAAATATTTATCGTTTGAGAGGTGCCCGAGTGGCTTGTGGGTCGGAGCACCGAGTCAACCCTGCTGTGAGCTCTTTAGGTTCAACTCTGGAGTTTTTGTTTTAGTCACCTGTGATTGAACCGGTCATTCGCGTGTAGCGAGTTGATGGTCTCATTGTGGTCGCCCATGGACTGACCACACAAATCAAGCATCGCGTTAAATCTTTTTTTCACTTCATGTGTGGCAAGCTTGCATACTCCGGTAAATGGGCCACACGTGTTTGACTGCCAGGCGACGAACATTTGTTTCCCACGCGCGTTTGGTAACAAAAAGATTCCCTAGCCCCTGGTAATGTTGTAGCCTTTGGTGTTTGTGCATGAGTTGTAAGGAAGGGCCACCTCATCATTGTGGCCTTCCACTGTGACTCCCTTGTACTCTGGCCTCACCCCGTGCCCCCCCCCCGCCCCACCACAGTGATGCCAGCAAAGCTGGACGGCGGCACCTTCTGCGGGTGTGCAAGATGCTCGTCAGCTACTTGGACTCGATGCTCGGGCAGAACGCCACCAAGGAGCAGATTGAGCAGGCGCTGGAGACGGTGTGCTCCTTCCTGCCCGACGCGTTTCAGCAGCAGGTAGCGGACGCGTGGTGTGGCTGTGAGACGTGGCGAGGCACGGGGCGTCATGACGAACTCTACCCCCTCGCCCGCACTGCGCGTCCTCGGCAACACTCGTCCCCGGCAGCCATGATTTAAAAATATATGTGTAATCGTCGCGCCCATTTACACAGCAAATCCTCGCAGGGGCTTCCTCCTCCGTGCACCTCGAGTCATTCTCGCCGTGGAGAGCAGTGGCGGGCGCGCGTTGCAAGTCGACATTATTCGCCCTATCGGCAAACACTGGTAACATCACCTGTGCGGCAATGATAGTAAATAAACGTCACGCGGATTAAAACAGGAGCAAACAAACGAGAAGCCCCCCCCCCTCCTATCCATCTGTGCGAAGCGTAAATCTGATAAGGGTCACGGATTAACGTCGACCAGTGCGGGCACGAAGAAAGGGAATGCACCAACGATGATGCACTCCCACAGGGTTGGACCGCAACGGATTAGAGTGTCACTGCTCAACACTCCGTGTCAATTTGCATCAAACAACAATAAAGCAATTTTTTTTGGTGATGCTTCCATTGACAGGTGGCCTTTATGTGCTATATTTGCTATGAAGGACCCATTGCCTGACCTATTGTGTGTGTGTATATATGTATTATTTTTCCATTCATGGCCACGGTTATTGATGAAAGTAGGTTGAATAATTATCATAGTGTTGACACCGGGCACAATTTGATCTGTCAAACATTAATATGTTGTATCGTGTCTGTATGAAGGCAGGGGTGATCAGATGGCGAGGAGATGATGGTACAGTCCGATAAATGTGTGAATCCATCTGTAAATCTTTGTGTTATTTCCTTGCATGGCTAGTTTATATCTAGGTTATATACTTCCCCCCCCCAACCCACCACATTAAAAAGACACTCCTTTAAAAAATAAAATATCAGAATATCCGATGAGCTGTAAAGCTCTTTTTCACATACATCGAAATTAACCTAACATCCCAAAAGCAAAGCTTTGAGACCTGGGTAAGACCTTCGTAAATAATTGGAACAGCATTAAGCGCACAAGCCTCTTGTGGAGAACAGACAAACGGAGATATGCGCATTGAGACAGAAAGAGGGAACGCGTGGATTGGAGCGCATGGTCGTTTAAGACATTGTGCTGACGGTTAAGAAATGTAAGTAGAACATCACTTGGAAGGATTGCGGTGGCCGGTGATCGAGACTTAGCGAAGAATGGCAGCCGAAGGATGGAACGCACCTGGGAGGACATCTACCACGGACGCCTAGAGATGAAATCTTGCTCGTCTGCTGGTGCCGGGTGGATTGTTGCATCTGCCAGTCTTCTCAAGTCGGCCAAAGCATGGCACCTGGGTGTGTCCGGTGACCTGTCGCCGAGCCTTCGACAACTCACGTGGCCTCGGTGCACCTAGCCTGGCGCCATGGTGACATCACTGTCACTTAGTGGCGAATGGTGGCTGTTACACTACCGCGAGGATCGCGGTACCACAAAGGGCGGCAACAGCTTGACGGGGGGGGGGGGGGGGAAGAGGCCTTCATCCAGCAGTGGATTGATCCTGGCCGACGTTGCGTGCGAACGCTACGGCGCCTGATGACGCGCCGCCCCTTTGCCTTCGTCGCGACCCCGGCCGGTGCCGTGGTGGTCTTGCCGTAACCACAACACGTGTGTCCCCTCCCTCCCTCCCCCCCTTGCGGCACAGTGCGACTCGCTCGTGGAGCAGTACGGGGAACTGCTGGTGCAGCTGCTGGAGCAAGCGCTGGACCCCGACTTCGTCTGTAACGTGAGCGCGACGACGTGCATATACACCAAACTCCACGCCACGTCTCGTCTCACAACACCACGTCACTTCACACCTACACCACGTCACGCCTGTCTCCCTGTCTGTAACGTGAGCGCGGCGACGTGCATACACACCAAACTCCACACCACGCCACGATGCGCCATGTCTCACCCACACCCCTTCACGTTTCGCCACGCCACGTTGCGTCGCACGACACCACTCCACACCATGCCACGCCTTGCTACGATGCTCTACTCCATGCCATGCCACACGCCCCGCCCACACCCTGCCATGTCACGCCACACTACGCCGCGTGCAACGCCACACACTACTTCACGCCACTCTGCTGCCCCCTCCTGGCCATTATGAAATGTGTGTACGTTGAACTTCGTTTGCACCGTACGTTGCCAACCGTGCTTAATCGGAGGGAAGAGGGGGAAGGAATAACAAAATACACACAACAACAAGCAGTTCTGAAGAAATTGGTTTTCAATCTATTTAAAAGTGCATATAGCTTCGGCTGTTGCCCGCCCTCCACTTTTTTCGCGCGAGCGCTATGCAGACCAACATTTTGTCGGGACGTGTCGTGGGCTAACGGCAAATGTGGCGGCGAGCCCTCTGGCTCTGCCATCGTACCGGCATTCGTCCTCGATGTTGTAGCTCCACACCAAAGGTCTCTGCGTGCTGCCCCTGGAAAACGTCCGAAGCCTCTTTTTAAAAGAAGGGGCAAAGATTTGAACACAATTCAAATGTTCCGTTTTGGGCTCTCGCAGCTGCGCGCACCGATTCTTCGTGTCAAGGTTCTTGTTCGCTGGGTGTGGGGCTTGAAGTCCAAATTTGGTGACGAAACCGAGCCCTCCATTCTACAAACGGTTACCACTTGTGACCTGAAGGCAGTCGCCAACTAGAAGTGGACTGGAAAGTCATTGCGTTTCGCGAATCGCACTGCCAGTCCATCTGGTTTGGTCGTAAACAATAGCAATTGTGACCGCACACTGCAACATGTCTTTGACAACCACCCTATTCAGAGGGTGGTGTCATTTAATTTATGCTAATGAATGTTAATGTAACTTAAAATAATTCCGTTTGGCGCTCTGACAAACTTACAAACTCTCATTCTGTTTTGTGTAACTGGAAAATTGCCCGACTGTCACATGCTCATTGCTGAACATGATTACTCAGTCCGAGGACATGCAGGCCCACGGTACATACTATTGGGTTTTTTTTCGGGTTTTGTAATTTTAAATTCCCAGTGGCTGAGGCACAGGTTCTCATTTTGAGGTTAATTGTTAATTTCCGAGGCTCCTAGAGCTGGTCTTGGGTAAAATGCGGATTATCGGAACTCTTTGGTAATACATGTGCTTAATTTACTTTCTCGCACTACACTGAGACATCAAGACGTGCTTCGGCAAAAATTAACAAGTGCTGCCCTCTTCCCAGTCCGCAACTGTACGGGGGCGGGGGTGACCCATTGCAGTGCAGTTTAGATTAACTGGGTGAGAACTGGTGAGAACAGAAGAGACCAGGATTAGTGTCGCTTGCAGAGGTGACCTGGGTCACCAACATTACAAAAGCGACAAAGCAAACAGTTGGCAGCACATGAAACAAGCAAATCTAAATTGTAGCTCAACCGCGCGCGTGACAACTGCGCAAATATAATCCCTGCATTTAATTAAATACGTTTCCTGTAACAAAGTGTCTCTGTGGTGGGTGGTAGGTGCCAGCGATCTGGGTAGAGGGAGAGGCCGGTAATTAAAACGAGGCTAAACTATTTTTTTTTATTTTACCAGGCAAGTCCCACTGAGTGATATAGCTCTATTCGAAGCGACCTGGCCACAAATGACCACTCAACGAAGTGGCTTCTGTGACATTTTATAGCAGCAGCCAAATACTCGAACGCAAATTGGTTCTAAAATGTGGAGGGAACAGCCGGAGCACCAGGTGAAAAATCCACGCAACCATGGGGAGAGAGCACATGCAAACTCTAAATATACAGCAGTCGTCGGGATTCCGGATCTAACCCACAACCCCCTCTGTGTACCGGGCGAGGGATTTAACATCTCGCCCACCGCGTCTGTAACCACCGAGGTGCCCCGCTCCCTCGTGGCGTGGCCGCCCTGCGTGCGAGCAGAAGCTGGGAGCGTGCATCGCAGCGCGTCACGTGACCCCGCTGGGGCTGGAGGAGTGCACCTGGGGCCCGTCCTTCTGGTGCCAGAGCAAGGAGAACGCGCAGCGCTGCAGCGTGAGTTGCGGGGGAACGCGCACGCATGGAAAAAGCACAGACGAAGATTCTCCACCCTGTATAGCCTTAACAGACTGTTGGGGCAAGTTTTGTTAAGCAAGTTGCACCCTAATGAAGGCCGGCACGGTGGCACACGGAGGGGGTGGATGGCCAGCACCACGCCTGGCTGCTTTTGTCTGCCCAGTGGCGATGTTTACACACTGCACCAGGGTTTGAGGCTGCGAGCGGTTATCGAACTCGGGTTGTCGCGCAGCGCATTGCCCACTACACTACCGCTTCCCATCCGCGTGCGCGCGCACGCACGTGTGTGTAGTGTCCCCACCCCCACACAGTAACCGCTGCGTCGTGGCTGACCGTGTCTCACGTGTGTCCATTTTTTTTATCTGTTGCCAGGCGGAGGAGCACTGCAAGCGCCACGTGTGGAACTGAGCGACCGTCTGAACGAGACTGCCACCCTCGCCTCTCTGATCCCTCGCCCCCTGCTCCACACTCCACTCTGCATCCCCACAGTTCCACGCTCCCCCCGGCATATCCCTCCATGCGCACCTCTCCGCCGCAAACCCGCCGCCGCCTCCTCGCACGCCATCCGCCTCACGCCCTGTCCCGCGGGTCCCTCCACGTACGCCCCCTCCGTGCACGTGAGGCCGTGCTCACCGCCACCTCCGCGTACACGCGAACCCCTCCACGTGTCCAGACTCGCTCCTCCGCCGTCATGTCTCCTGGGTGGAATGTGCTCCAACGTGAGCGCACGGGGCGCGTGAGGATGTGCTGCTGGGCGGTGTGGGTGTGTGGATGGCGTGCCTGATGCAGGTCTCGCGGGGGGCGGAGGGGGTGGGGGTGTGGGTTGGCTCACTGCTGCCAAAGCTAGGGGTACAGTGATCCCTGCCTGTCTGCAGCGGATTTCACAAACATCACTGGTTTTGCTTTTTTGGAGCAGTTTTTCTCCTCCCCAATTTCGTGTTGATTTTTGCGGGTTTGATAATGAATTTGATTGCTTTACTGGGGGGTTCTAATCTTCAAATTTCTAACTTTGATTTTAGCGCGTTACTTATACCGGTCGGATACATTTTGGTGTAAAATTTTGCCGATTTGGAGAATGTACTTTGGCGTGGTTGGATTGTAGCTGCTTTCTTTTTTTGTATGTTCGAAACTATTTAACGTTTGAACGATTTTGAAAACCATTTTCTTGACTTGGGTAGTGGGGGCGGGGGGGGGGTGATGTTTTTCTCCCTCTACCTTCGATTCCGCTTGATGATGATGCATCATTTTATTTTCTGACCGAGAACACAGTTTGCTTTCTGCACAGCTCCTAACGGGATGGTGGGGTGGGGTGGAGGTCTGCAAAGGTCTGCACCGCAATCGCTTCGGCCGAACTGCTCGGCACAACGGAGCCACATTTTCATTTCACCGCAAAGGAGCGTTCTGTTTGAAAAGTAGAACCTTGCGTTGGAGCGGCGATGGCCAAAAGTGTTTGCGGCCCCCCTCCTCGCTTGTCCCCGGCGCCTACCAATCCTGATGACACCGTTTGCCCGCGTCCGAAATCGTCTCGTTGAATATATCAAAAAAAGGATAAGTACACTTTTGTTTCTGCACACAACCAATCGTCACCTGTCTCGCGCGCGCGTGAGTGAGCACGACGCTTGTGTGCAGGTTTTTAAAGGAATTAATTCGGCCCCTTCATGGCTTAGCAGGTGCCGTAGATTCTGGAACAATGACTAAATAAAGCCTGTAACGTGAAGTGCGGGAAGTGTTTTTTGTGTGTTTTGTGTGTGGGTGGTTGTGCAGAGCGGTAGTGTAGAGGTTAGCACGCTGTGCTACGAACCTGGCGACCCGGGTTCGATTCCCGCTCACGGCCAATACCAGTGACGGATATCAGAACCGGTCCTGGACCTCTCCTGGGTAAACTCCACCTCAACTGAGTACCTGGTGCAATGTGTAAAACATCGCCGCTAGGGAGACAAAGGCGGCCGGGCGTGGTGTTGGCCACCCCACCCCCCTCGTGTGCCGTGCCGGCCTTAATAGGTGCTCTCTAACAGCACTTGCCTCCCAACAGTCTGTTAAGGCTACACGGGGAATCTGTGTTTTTGGTTGCTTGCGAGTGATGAATGTGAATCGTTTCCCTGTGGAGTCGAGAGGGGTGGGGGGCGTGGTTGGTTATTTTCATAGCTTTGTGGATCCTTGTGCAGGTGGGAATGCCTCTGCCTGCTGATCGATGTTTATCTTCCGGATGAAATTTGTCATTTTTCCCTGCCCGAGTGAGAAATGTGACGTTTCAATAGACTTTATCAAAGTGTGACTTTGGCGGGGAGGGGGGGTATGGGTGACACGAGGACAGTTTTTGCGGGGGGGGGGGGGGCATTATCTGATTAGACCCCCTCTCCTTCCACAAATTGCGTGCGTCACATGGCACAAGTCGGTGTGATAATTCTGCTGGTCGCGTGGCGACCTTGCCTCGTTGGCACCACCTGGTAAGGCTAAAACAGTCACTACATTGCGCTGCCCTCTGGAAACTTACCAAGGAAAAACCCCCTTCAGTGCCTGGAGAAACGCCCCCCCGCCTCCCCCCCACGCACCCAGCGTGTGGCGTGCAACGCAGATGTCGGGTCGAACAACAAGCGCGCGTCGCCACCTCTCTCGGACTGCAGAGCTGTAACTTGGCGAGGCCACCATTATTCGCCCCCCCCCTTTTCTCTCTCTGGGTTCTCCCGTAAGCGAGGGCCCTTGTAATGTTCGTGACGGGACAAAGACGTCTCGAAGTAGACGAGTGATGTCTTCACGCGTCCGTCTCTCTCCACATACCGCCGGCCACACGGAGCTCTGTTTGGGGTTGGGTGTGGGGGGGGGGTGAGTGCACGATTTCGGCAGCGTTTATTCAAGACTCGCAAAACGCCGGACCGGTGGCAAGACGCACCCCCGTGGTGTCTCGTCATCGACAGTCGGACTCGCTTGACTCGATGCTTGGACTGCCTATCGGACAGGCAAGTGCCCCCGCGCCTGCGATGAGCACGGTTGGCTACGTACGGTGCGGAAGAAGTTCAACATACAAGTACCCCTCCCGTTATGTTGTGGTTGGGGCTGATTTGACACAACAATACAACCCAAAATAATCATCGGCGTCGGGCTGATGGATTGTGAAACTATTTTTGGATGTGCAAATTCGACTTGCTTATGTCGTTTGCGAACGTGTCCTCGGTATCTGCTGATGGCTGCTGAATCGTTCGTTGACATGCACACGCGTCCAGGGAATTCGTTCTGAGCAATTTCTCGAGTGCACCTTAAAGTCGTCCCTGCCATTAATTGTCGCAGATGCATCGGCGACCTCTGTTCGCTTTCGTTGTAAATATTTTAGTGTGCTCTGTTGCACTTCAATTGATGTCGGTAACCTTTCATTTTAAAAGACTTAGAGCCTCCCGTCACCATCATTGAATTATTCACGACGGCAATCACCGGTATTACTACACGTTTTTACCCAGGAAAGCCTTGCAGTCAACTTTTTTGCAGGAGGGTAGTGGCTAAGTTGTTCTCAGTAGGGGGCCACAATTGCCATGTTTCCAAATAAATTAATTGGTAAAGTGTTTTGTTTTTATTAGACAATGTGGACTATTACGCGGGCACACACGGCCTACGCTTTTTAGAAATTGTCTGCTGTGAAGCTGTGGTGTAGACTGCATGCATTTCAATGGGTAAATCCAACCGCAGTATTATCCATGGCGCCCGAACGGTGGTCGAACCGCGAGCCTCTGCAACAAACCGCAAATGTGGTCCCGCCACGGTGGCTAGGAGATGTTGACTACCTCGCCTGGTATACAGGAGGTGAGTTCGATTCCGACCCTGACGATGCCTGCTGCTGTATATTTGGAGTTTGCGTCTCTCCCTCATCATCATCATCACGGTGGCTATGAGGTGTTAACTACCTCGCCTGCTATACAGAAGGTCGTGGGTTCGATCCCGACCCTGACGATGCCTGCTGTATTTTTTGAGTTTTTTTTACATTATCCCCGTGTCCAGTTATTTTCCTACACAATTAGAATCGACGTGTTTCAGAGTCTTTGGCTGCTATACATTCGACATGATAAGCCACTTCGTTTGAGCTATCGTTTGTGGCAAGGTCGCTTCTGAAAAAAAGAGCTATATATAGCTCAGTGGGCCTTACCCGGTAAAATACATAGTTTAACTTTAATCGATATTCATGAAGGGAACCTCGGTTCACTCTTCTGAGCTCTGTTTGGGATGCTTTTCTGTGTGCGCATCTTCGATGGATGCCCGCCACTGGGAATGCCGAGTGGATTCTAATTGGTCACGAGAGTCGATGCGAGTGAATGCAGGCGAGAGAGCTGCAGGACAAGTCGGCCTGGAGCTCTCGTCCTCTCCCTGCCTCTCATCTCTCTTGCTTTACCTGCCTCTCTCTTCCCCATACCTTTCCTCTCTCTTTCCCTCCTCTCCAGTCCCTGACCTCGCTCTCCCTGTGCCTCTCATTTACCTTCCTCTCCCCGCCTCTCTCTGCTCCCTGCCTCTCCCTGCCTCTCTCTCTCTCACACACCCCGTGCCCCCCGTGGCTCATCAATGGCTCTGCCTCTTCCTTCCCAGCCTCTCGCTCTCCCTCCCCACCCCACGTGGCACGCCGCCCTGCTGCTTGAGCCCTAGGTCCCGGTCTGGCGCGGCAAGCGTTGGCGATACCCGGGCAACGCTTCGTGTGTTCGTGTGCACGTACACACGTGTGCACGTGTGTGTGTGTGCACGTGTGTGTGTTGAACTTCCTTTGCACCGTGCGTGGTCAACAGTGTTCATGGGAGGTGCGGGTGTGCTCAGTCCCACGTGTACGCAAGAGTCCAGTCGCGCAGGAGTCTGAGTACTCGCCCGGAGCGAGGAGGCGCGTGTGCGTCGCCTTGCTGGGAAATCGCTTTAAACATGTAACGACGTATAATTGCCGACTTTTCTCAAAATCAGTTTAACACGTAGCAGGCTTTCGCGACCAATATTATTCATAATCAAGGTTTTTGGGTTAGATCGCGTTGTTTATAAATGTGTCGTAGCCCTCCACCACCCGACACGGACAAACAGTAAAAAATGTGTCACGTTTACAAAGGACAAATAGTTCACTACTTTAGCCCACCGGTGTGTTGAAGAGTGAATCAACATCATTTAAAATTTGAGTAAAAATCTACTGCTGGATGAAGGTGCCTCTCCCCCTTCCTCCCCCCCCTGGTCTCAGAGCGCAGTGAGCGCGTCAGCCACTTCTCAGCCGCTCCTTGCCCCAGCGCACGACAGCATCCCGCTGAGCCACGGCAGCTGCTTTCTCAGACGCAACCTGGCTATCACGAGCGATAGCTCAACGAAGTGGCTTATCATCCTCGTGTGGATATTTATAGCGGCCAAGTAATCTAAATCGTCTGGGCGCATCTCCACTGCCGTACCGAGCAAGCCCGTATCCAACCATCGCGGTACGACGCTGATGGCTGGTAATCCAAGCCTGTGCTGTGCCGATATCCCTTTTGATTTAAAGCCGAGTGGACTCACAATCAGCTGAGCGAAACGCCCGGAGTTGTTTTTGTTGTTGCAACCGAAGTAGCCCCCAACCCTTGCCTGAGCCAACGTTTGTTCTGGTAAATGCATGTACGAATATTCTAGATTTGAAGTTTTCGTGACTGCAAGGATCCATACTCTTGATTCTTTCGGTAAAGTCACGTCGGTAAAGAAAAAAATAAAAATAAAAATAAAAAATAAATCGCGACGTTTCGGCGCGCGACACAAGCGTCCGTCATCAGGCGAATAATGATCGCCAGTATCTTAACCGACGGTTCATTTCGCGAGGTTATGCCTCGCTTAGCCCTCGTAAGTGCGAGCGAATATCAAGAACAGTGAAACGGCCGCTGTGCGCTTGCGTGACGCGGTTTGTTCTCGCTCGCTGCTTACTCTGGGAAACCAAAAGTGTTTAAGATCGGTGAGTTTAGAAAGGGGCCGTCCATAAATGACGTCACGCGATTTTGGACGATTTTTAACCCCCCCCTCCCCCCCATCGTCACACGGTGTCACAAAAAGTCAGACCCCCCCCTCAAATATGACGTCACAAAGCTCTGACCCCCCCATCGTCACACGGTGTCACAAAAAGTCAGACCCCCCCTCAAATATGACGTCACAAAGCTCTGACCCCCCCCCCCCCCCATCGTCACACGGTGTCACAAAAAGTCAGACCCCCCCCTCAAATATGACGTCACAAAGCTCTGACCCCCCCCCACATCGTCACATGGTGTCACAAAAAGTCAGACCCCCCCCTCAAATATGACGTCACAAAGCTCTGACCTCCCCCCCCCCCAAATAAAACATGCTTCAAATCGCTTTAAACTATTGTTGTCATTGTAGTGCGTATTTAATGTGCCGCTGCATACTGATGTTGCAGGAGAAAACATTTATTAAAAAGTATATTTAATTAAGTAGAACGTGTTGTCTATATTTATTTAAAGTTGCGCATTTTGATGTGACGTCACATTTCTCACACACCCCCCCACCCCTCGTCACACATCGTCACAAATGTCTGACACCCCCCCAGGTGTGCGTGACGTCATTTATGGACGGCTCCAAAGGTCTTTTGCATCGTCCTATAGGTTGCCATATGGATTCGAATGCCGTCGTAGTTATTTTATAGTCTGCGGCTTCTTCTTCTTTCGTATATGAGCTGATTTGTTTCGTGCATTGGCAGATTCATACAACGTGATCATTATTCACCAACGACTCTCACCATGTGG